CCGCGGCAATTAAAAAGCTCTTTAGGAAGACACCCGACCAGCAGCTTTAGGAATAAACCATTTATTTCAGAATAAGCGGTGCAAAAAGTAGCACAATTTTCTGGATGGAAACACCAGTAAATCCAGTAATTCACTCCTACCGGGCTAAAATTAATTATACTATATATAATACGTATATTATAATAATTAAGGGGCTCGGCGCATTTTGAATTCCCTGATCAGATCGTCGCCTTTTAGCGCGGAGCGGGGCGAGCATCATCTGGACTTATAACCGACCACCAGGGCGGGAGACCCTCCTAAAATGGCTTCCCACCGCCGACGTTTGGACCGCATCCCGGAATTTGTCGGATTTTTCTGGTACCGGGGAGGCGGTTATCGAAGTTTAAGTTTTATCAAAGTTTTAATTGTATTCAAGTTTATCGTGCCTGCGCCTTTGCCTGTTTCAATAGCCGATTTAAGCGTTTACCCTGCCAAAAAAACCCGTTCACTTAAGAGGGACATTCGTACCCAGAGGGGTAGGGGCGACGTGGTGGCGGAGGGTGGTTAGGTGATAGTACTTAAGAAGTGGTAATTTGGGGTGGTATAGTTAAAATCGCAGCCCGATTGGGTAGCGAAGATACAAAGAGGTCGATTAATGCTTGTAGTGTGGCTGTAAAGAGTCGATATATAGAAAATAACGCAACGATTGTAAACGTGACCAGCCGTTCCCGGCGTAGATGAGCGTCCCCTCGGTGGGTTCATGGGGGGGTGGTGGGAAATGACTCCCCCAAGAGAAGCAAGGCACAGATTAGGGGTTCAGAAGGAATTTCCTTCCCCCACGGACCCCCCCCCTCCTGGCTCTGGGATGCAATCTTCAGCATCTACTGGTGGCCATCCTTTCGTTCTTTGCCAGGGCTGTTGTCCGTGAGGTGGACCGTGGATCTGCCTTTGTGTAGACCCAAAGATGCGATGGGGTACGTTCGTTCAGAAGCAGCATCTCACATAGTCAACCCACGTCCACATTTCCATCACAAGCCAAGTTTCCCAAGTGCCACCAGGCTTGTAGGTGACATTCGGTGGCATCATCCCAGACAACTTCACGAATTTCAGCAGTAGACTTCTGGCGTCGCCTTCTCTTGAGGTTCCAGCTCGGACTCACAGAAGGCAGACTTCTGGCGTCGCCTTCTCTTGAGGTTCCAGCTTGGACCCACAGCAGGCAGACTTCTGGCGTCACCTTCTCTTGAGGTTCCAGCTCGGACTCACAGAAGGCAGACTTCTGGCGTCGCCTTCTCTTGAGGTTCCAGCTCGGACCCACAGCAGGCAGACTTCTGGCGTCACCTTCTCTTGAGGTTCCAGCTTGGACCCAAGGGTTGTTGGGTCTGAAGGCAACTCAAAGCCAAGGAAACATCCCCTTGGGTTACCCCTAAGGCATTTAATAATAATGTGGTCATCGTAAATTGGATGTTCTCATTAAGGGACAGCGTTTGGGGTCAACCACAGTCCCATTCCCAACTGAAGCAACGATGATCGTAAGGGAACACGAAGATTTCACAGCAAGGTAGTCATTGTGTCCAGCTTATTGACCAGGACCTTGGACCGTCAAGCACTCCCATGCCAGTCCCCAAAAAGGGCGGCGGGGGGGGGGGTGGGTGTGGGGGGTGTGTCCCTGCATGGGCATAAGTTGAGCTGAGGTAGGACATCGCTACGGAGCCAGGCTAGCCATCCCCGGTCAACGGTAAACGAGACGGTGGGTCCGGTCTGGATATATTTGTTGACACTGCTCACTCGACCCCTTTTAAGGACCGGTCGGGATCCGAAAGTAGTTGTCGAGTATGATTTTTTTTCTGAACCGCATAAGGACCTACTTCAGTACAAATGGGGGATGAAGTCAAGGGTGAGTTGAGAAGGATGGTTGGAGGGTCGGTTGTGATGAGTTTGGGAGGAGACGGCCTTGGAGATGAGGGAGTAATACTAAATTTAAAAGCGAGAGCCATCAGAGCCTTAGCCCCGAAGCACTCGGCGCCAACAGGGCGAGAAGAATAAGGGTCATGCTGCAAAAAGACGGACGTAGGAACCCCGTGTCACCAGTAATTCACTACTACCGGGCTCAAATTGATATCTGGGTGTGCAAAGTCTGACACAACCATGGTTATCAGGTAGGACATGGGGCACATCTTCTTTGGGTGGGTAACTTGGCCCAGCTGATGGACTCCACCGTTGGGTTGACGGTTGGACTCGATGATCTTGGAGGTCTCTTCCAACCTTACTGATTCTATGATTCTATGATTCTATGACTCGGGGCAGCTCAAATTCTTTTATTGTTGAGCTGTGGAAGCACCATCTGGACTCGTTAACGGATCATCGCATCCCACCTCTGCTCCCACTCTGTGCCGGGTCTTTCCTTTCTGCACGTGGTGCTCGGACACGTCACGCAAAGCGACACCAACCCTGGTCCTCCCGTGAATCTCCTGGTGCCTCGTACAGTGGGAGGCTTGGCGGAAGGTTTTTTTGCAGATGGGGCAGGTATAGGGTTTTTCTCCCGTGTGGATTCGTTGGTGGGTGACGAGGAGAAAATTAGAGTGGAAATTCTTCCCGCAGTCGGAGCATCTGTAAGGTCTCCCCTCGGTGTGGAACCGCTGATGCTTCAGGAGAGCTGCGATGGCACCAAAACACTCCCCGCAACTAGGACACTTGTAGGGTTTCTCCTCGGTGTGGCTCCTCCGGTGTCTCCGAAGGGTTGAGCCATCGTTGTAGCACTTCTCACAGTCGGGACACTTGAAGGGTCTCTCCCCCGTATGGATTCGTTGGTGTTTCAGTAGGGTTGCGCTGTGGCGGAAGGTCTTCTCGCACTTGGAGCATCTATAGGGTCGCTCTCCGACGTGGGTAGCCCGGTGAAGGACCAGAGCTGACTTTGCATGGAAGCTCTTACAACAGTAGGGGCATTTATAACGTCCCTCCCCTGGGTGGGCTCCCTGAGACGTCCTCTGCTTCTTTTCCACGTGGATCTTCTTATGTTTGATGAGCCCAGAGCTGTCTGTGTAGCTTTGCCCGCAGTCCATACATTTGTACGGTCTCTCCCCGGTGTGGCTTCGCTGGTGTCTCGTAAGGTGGGAGCTCAATCGAAAGCTTTTATCGCAGCTGAGACAGTTGTAGGGTTTCTCCCCGGTGTGGATTCTCCGATGGGAGACGAGGTCTGAACTCATGATGAAGCTCTTCCCGCATTCAGGACACTTGTAGGGTTTCTCCCCGGTATGGACCCGCTGGTGAACGACGAGGGTCGATCGCCGGTTGAAGCCCTTCCCGCACACGGAGCACTTGAACGGCTTCTCTCCCGTATGGATCCGCTGATGAATGGCCAGGAACCGTCTCAAGCTGAAGTTCTTCCCGCACGCAAGACACCGAAAAGGGTTGTCCACGCTATGGGTGGCTTCGTGGGCCAGCAGATACGCGGTCAACCGAAAGGTCTTCCCGCAAACGAGGCAGACGTAGGGTTTCTCCCCGGTATGGATCTTCCGATGGGTGCTGAGGGTGGAGGTGAGACGGAAACGCTTCCCGCAGTCCGAGCACTTGTAGGGTTTCTCGCCCGTATGGATCCGTTGATGCTTGTTGAGAGCTGACCCAACTCGGAAACCCTTCCCGCACTCGTGGCAGGTGAAGGGCTTTTCACCGGTGTGGATGCGCTGATGGGGGATGAGGAAGGACCTCCGACTGAAGATCTTCCCGCAGTCGGGACAGCTATAGAGGCCCTTGTGCATGGCCTCTTCCGCCTTCCCAGCAGTGCTCTTCCCACTCTTGCTGCAGCTGTAGCTCCTCTTCGTTGCACGGCTCCCGTGGCGGGCTTGCAGCCGTCCGCCCTTTCTTGGTGACGGGCGTCCACGGGAGTCATTGCTCGGTTCTTCAGAGGCTTGTGGTGGTTGACTCTCACACTCGCGCTGCGCCGTTGGGTTTGGCTCTTGAAGGATGTCCACCTCGGATAGGTCCCAAACCAGCTCAGACCCTTCTAGCTCCTCCAGACGGTTTTCATTCCCGTCCGCCATCCCGTCAGCTGTAGGAACGAAGATCCCAAGCCCAAGTCAGGCCGATGCCTTTACCAAAGTTCCTCTGAAAGTTTAAGGTTCTGATGCCCAAATCTAGCCCGCTCAGCAGCTCCAGTGGTACCACAGGGGGGGGGTGGTGCCCCCAGGCTACAACCCCGCGCGGATGCAGCTCACGGGGCATGAGGACACAGGAAAAGGCCATGGGAAAGAGAGCTTTTGAGGGTTACCAGACAGAGAAGGTCCGCGTGGACCTCTGGGCTGAGGAAGTGCCATCGGGCCCTTCTCCTCCCCTGCTGCCCACCCGCCGCG